CCCAGCACAGACCCTGCTCTCTGGGGGTTCAGAGCCATGTGGTTAGGAGTCACCCAAGTGTGAGTTGGGGGCCTTGGTGCCTGGATGTAGATGGGTTCAGCTCCAGAACAACATTTAACCACTCATCCTGCTCCCAGCTTCCTGTGGTCCTAACAGACACTGAAACCAGCCCGTCAAGGGTCCCTAAGAACTTGGAGACTGAGTGCCCTGAACATAGATAACACTGAGGCCAGTGGGAACTCCACTTAGGGCCAGGAACTCTGATGTCTCATCCTTCCACACCCACCTCAGGAGCATCTTGAATTATAGAAGCTCCCCCGGCCCAGTGATTTCTCCCCTCTGGGTCCAACAACTACACTGGTTGTTTTACAAATATAACAACTTCACAATGCCCCAGAGACAACAATTTTGGGTCATATGAAGAAACAAGAGAGAATGGCACAAACAAATGACCAAGATGCAGAACCAGGAGACGATGCTGTGGAAGGAGAGGTAATGGTGGAGGTGGTGTGGTTCCGACCCATAGGCAACCTGCACAGGGTTTCCGAGGCTGCAAATCTTTACAGGAGCAGAAAGTCTCATCTTTCTCCAGCAGAATGGCTGGTAGTTTTGAACAGCTGATCTGGAGATTAGCAGCCCAACTTGTAACCACTATAAAACAAAACAAAACAAATTCAAAAGAATGATAATTGTTGTTAAGTGCTGTAGAGTCGATTCCGACCCATAGAGGGTTTCTAAGGAGCAGCTGGTGAGTTTGAACCACCGGTGACCTTGCAGTTTAAATGACTTTGCAGTCGCTAGACTGCATTAGCTCACTGCGCCACACCAAGGCTTGTTGTTAAGTGCTGTCGAGTTGGTTCCGACCCATAGCGACCCTGTATAGGGTTTCCAAGGAGCGACTGGTGAGCTTGAACCACCAACCTTGTAGTTCAAACACCTTTGCAGTGTGATGCATTAACCCACAGCGCCACACCAGGACTCCACACCAAGACTTAGGTACCTTCAAAGGATCGACAGAAAGATGGAGGAAAGTAACAAGAATATGAAAGTACCATGGACTGCCAAAAGAACCAACAGATCTGACTTGGGAGTAGTACAGCTGGAATGAGGAGAAGGGGAGAGACTGCCTCTCTTGTACTTTGGACATGTTCTCTGAAGAAGGACATCATGTTAAGCAGAGATGCTCAGCAACAAAGAGGGAGACCCTCACTCAACAAGATGAACTTACCCAGTGGCTGCCACATGGGTTCAAACGTGAGGATGGTGGAGGACTGGGCAGTGTTTTGTTCTGCTGTGCATGGGGATAGTGTGAGTTGGAAAAGACTCAGCATCTAGCAACAAAAACTATGTAACAAAACATAATCCCCTTCAATAATTCCTCCAAGTACAATTCAGTGACCTCAGTTACGTTCCTCAAATTGTGCCACCTTTATCGAAAAGCTTTTCGATAAAAACAGTAACTCACTTTAACTTGGGTCCCTTGGCTTGAAAAAGATGAGGCGTTCTGCTCGTGTAAAGATTTACAGCCTCAGAAACCCTGTACAGGGCCATTATGAGTCGGTTCTCAATCCATGGCACATCACCACCACCACCACCACCACTTGGCTTGGGGGATGATTAGGATGACTTCATTTTCTCCCTCCGCCTTCTCTACTTGGGGACTCCTTCAAGCAGCAACGGGCCTTTTGAATCGGACTGCTTTTCTTCTCCCTCTTGTTTTGTGGATTCACTGTCTAGGAAATACTAGACTACTTAACCACAAAGTTGGTGGTTCAAACCCACCAGCTACTAATTGAAACCATATGGAGGGTCACTGTGAATCAAAACTGACTGGACGGCCCTTAACAACCACAGGAAGTACCCCAGCTTTTTTGCCACCTTACCTACCCCATGTGATATTCCCTGCTCACTTTCCTTCTTTCTCTAACCTGGGCTTTGCTTTTCCTCTGGGGGCAGTTTACCTCCCCACTGTTGCTGCTGATGTGCTGTGGATTTGGTTTCCACTCATAGCAACCCTGAATAGGGGTTCTGAGGCTGTGAACCTTTATAGGAGCAGAAAACCTCATCTTTCCCTCATGGAACGAACGGCTGGTAGTTTTGAACTCCTGACCTTGAGGTTAGCAGCCTGTCTCATAAGCACCACAAGCTGCTGCTCCTCTGTACCTTTAAGTCTGTTCTGACTCGTAGCAAACATGTATGGGCCTTTCTGGGGCTGTAAAAGGAGCTCTGGTAGCGTAGTGGTTATGAATCGGGCTGCGAACCTTATGGTCAGCGGTTTGAAACTACCAGCCACTCCACGGGAGAAAGATGAGGCTTTCTACTCCCGTAAAGATTTACACCCTTGGAAACCCTGTACAGGGTCGCTATGGGTTGGAACTGACTCAACGGCACTTAACAACAACAAGTGTTTTCTCCCAAGGGGCTGCTGGTGGATTCGAACTGCTGACTTGTGGTTAACAGCCCAACAAGTAACCCACTACATAGCAGGACTCCTCCATCTTCACCAAGGGTCCCTTAATGCCCTTGATACCCCCTCTTACATGGAGAGGCTATTTTGCTAGTGAACCGCCCTGTTTTCGGGCACCCTCCATGCACCCAGCATCTCCTAGTGCCTGGGGACCCAGTAGTACCCTCCCCACTTGAGCTTCTTAAGCCTGGGCTGGGGTCTCCGCAGCGCTGGCTCCTCCTAGTTCTGGGCATCCAAGTTTGCCCTGAGGAGTCTGGCTGGGATGGGCAGCCGCCTGGAGGCGTCTCAGAGATGGTGGGCTGGAGAAGGGGACTCCAGGAAGTCCAATCCAAAATAGGATGCAAGACATGGGGATCCCACTGATGGGCCCAGGGAAGCGTTAGGCCTGCAGGGAGCAGACCCACCACAGGCCTGGGTTTTCTGTGCATCAGGACCCCCAGCAGAGGGCGCTGTGACACCGTGCCTTTGCTGTGGGGGTTTCTCCCCCACATCCCTACTGACTGGAGTATTGGGCTAGCCTGACCATCATGGCCTCACCTGACCACTTCTGCAGATGCCTAAACCGAAGGGCACCTTGCTCCTCACTCCCCCACCCCATCCTGGCCCCTGCCCTTGGCCTGGCTGCTGGGGCCTCAGGCTGAAGGTCTGTGTGGACCTGGCGGTGGGGGGGGGGGGACATGAGGCCCTTTTTCTCCCAATTAGGGGTCAAGAGCTTCCCTGGATTCGGAGAACTGGGACCTGACCCCTCCTTCCCTGCTCCCCATCAGAGTTGACAGCATCTTCTCCAAACAGCTGACCAGGCTCAGGGCATTACAAGGCCAGCTTTCCCTTTTTGGGAGCCCTTGGTCCCATCCAGACACACCAGCTTTCCAGGCCCCAAATTTCCCGCCTGGTCTCTCTGTACACTCTGCCCCTCGAATGGGTGTCCAGCCGTCCAGCCGTCCAGCCGTCCAGCCAGAACTCGACAGCCTGTAGGCACGGCGGGTGGTGGACTACGGTCCTCCGTTTCTTTGATGTTCCGGAGGGATTACACTTCAGTCTCCTGGAAGGTCACAGCATCAGCTTCCACACACGTCCTGGCGTCTCCGAACGTGGGGACAGGGCGCCTTCCCACTCTAGGCTCCAGCGCTGGGTCCCTGAGCGAGATCATGGACCCTTAGCCCCAACCCCACGGCAATGGGTCGCCCCCTCTCCCGAATCTGGGTGACCTTGTCCGCCCCATTGGCCCACTCGCTGAGGGACCTTAGGCCAGGACTTCTGGGTCTCCTGTCCACGCGTGGGTGTGGGGCTTTCACTCCGGCTGCCCAGTACGGTGACCCGCGGGGAAAGGGGGGTGACGCGGGAGCCGGGCAATGCCGCAGAAGCAAGGTGTACAAAGTGCGAGGGGCGGGGGTGCTGCCCCCTCGGAGTGAGGGATGGTATCCGGGTCTATGGGTTATCCTTCCCTACCACCCTCCGACCCCAGTCTGCAACGTCCGCAGATTGGACCGCAGGGACAAGTCTCCGCTCGAAGAGCACCCCCCACACCCCGCACCTGCACCGAGGCCGCGGGGCGCATGCGCAAGCCGCGGAGGGCGGGGGCCGGCGGGAGGGGGTCTGCGGATCGTCCCCCCAACCCCCCGTTCTCTGCGGGGAGTGGGGAGCGCGGGGTGCGGGCGCTTTGGGCGTCCGGGCCGCTCCGGCCGCGCCCCTGCCGCGAGCCCGGGTCTCCTAGCAGCGGCTTCTGGTAGTGCGGTGCGGGGAGCGGGGAGCCCCTTCCCCAGGGCCCGGCCCACCGACGCGTGCAGACAAAGAGGCGGGAGACGGAGCCCGAGAGGCGTCCGTGATTGCGCCGCGGCCGGGGACGCGCAGGGGCGGATGTGGCGGCGACAGGCTGCGCGGCCAACGAGTCCCGGCGTTCCTAGGCCCGCGCAGGGGTCGGGTGGTAGGTGCCCCTGTCACACCGCTCGGAGTGGAGTCCTGGAAGCGCCCCTCAGCCCGGATCACCGCGCCTGGACCTCCGCGTTGCTGACGCCCCCCCATCCCGCCCAGGCCACCCCCAGCGGTACGAGCGTTCCGTTGCACCCCGGGCCGCCCCGCATCTCAGCCCGAGCGCACGCCGTTTGCCGGCTGCGCCCCAGCCACCCTGCCAGCGCCGAAGTGTGCCATCCGGCGGGCCCGCGCGCGGAGGCGGCGTTCCCCCCCCAGATCACATGGTGACCCTCGGCAGCCAATGCAGTGGACGCTAGGACCCTGCGGGACCCCGGGCGCCGAGATTGCACCGGCTCCGCTGCATTATAAATACTTCTCCAAAATGCAGCGCAGCTCCCTGCGCGCGCCCCGGCC